ATTTTTTGTATTAAATTGATTGTTTGAGTCACTCACACGGTTTAAAAAATTTTAACTTAACATAAGAAATGAGAAAAATAGGTTAACTAACTTGTTGGAAAAGAATACAAATATTTACCAACTAAGCAAAAATTTACATATCTTTATTTAAAATAGAGGCTATAATTGATTTAATCATCAAAATTTTTTTTGCCTGCAAGTAAAAATAATTGAAGTTTTAATTATTTTTAGACTTTTGAACTTTTGATACATTTTAAACCGCTTAAAATCACATGTTTTTCAGAAAAATGGCAAATCAATTAAAAAGAACGAATTAACCTCTTTGGCTTTTACACATATTTTAGTCAAAAAAAAAATTTTATATTATCTTTTTTATAAGGAAGTCGCTAATTTTTTAATCTCAATCTTAACTCACACATTCTATTCACCTTCAAAATCATAACATAAAATATGAAATCTATAAAATTATTTAAACAAAAGCTTTTATTTTCTAATTTTATAAATTAATAATGTTTTTATAAATGAGTTGTTATATTTACTAAAATAGTTTTCTTTATTTACTGAAAACAGTTTTTAATTTAATCAAAGTTTGTTCTTGTTCTTTTTCCGATAACCGCGGCGGCCAAGTCTCTTTTGATATTGGGCGTTTTCAGCATCAACATCTGCTAGTTGTTGCTCTTTTTAAAATTTCAAACTTTTGTATCGACTGAAAAGAATAAATAATATTAATCTAATATTTACTATACATTTGTTTATATTTATTCATTTAGTTAATTAACAAAACAAAATTAACACTAAGCAATAGAGCAATAATTAAGATAAAAATGCCTTCAATAATATTTAACAATAATTAGGGACCGCAAGTTGAAGTTTGTGTTATCAATCAATAATAAATCGCTTCAATCTATCGGCCATGTCAAATCTAATATAAATTTAATTCCCGACCTTAAATTTGTGACAGGCAACGTGAAATCAGCTTTTTCAAAGTTGGCAAAAGTCGGTGTGATTGGCGCCAAAACAGCGTCCGCCCTTCCAGAGGTCAATTCTTCCAGCGAGACTTTTGTCCTGTTGAAGACGCCGCTTCGTCTGCTTGGCAAGTAAAACTTGGATCTGCGCATAGAAATTAGATTTTTTTACAGCTTGTTTTTGTTAGATTTATACGTGAAGCGCAACTGGCTCTTCAAATCACTCCACACGTCAATAAGCCAGCCCGCGGCCGTGCTTTTGTTGCCGTCGTTTGTTATGCTCACGAACGGCGGATCCTGCGCTTTTCGCAATAAAAAGAACAGAAGAGAAATTTATATTTCGCGTCAGCCAGCATCTTGTTTACGGCGCGAAAGTAATGAAGCTCACGTGAAATAGGGCGACAGAAAAGTGATACCCCTCGAGGCTGCGTCTTTTGACGTTCTGAGAAAAGCCGTCCGAGAAAAGGGCAAAGCGAGCGCCGTTCCACGCCTGCAACTCCACTTTCCCGCCATCTGAAACCCTGGCCACGCTCACCTCACTGTCCGCTCGCAGGCCTAAATAATTGGTCTCGGGTGGCATTTCGTAGTTCGAAACTATCAGCCAGTTCGAGAAGGAAGAGGCAAAAGTTGCCACAGGAATCTGCGAAAATTAAATTTCTTGACAAACGAATACACATTTTCCGTTCTCTGAATCAAAAATTTTAATCATGACTTTGAGTGTCAAAAAATCTACACATATTTTTTGCCTTCAAAAATCATGTGTGAACAAAATTTGAAAAGGAGCAAATAAATTGGTAAATTTTATTGTTTTATTTGCATTTTTTTTTAGTGGATTTTAGAACAAAATTTATGTTCTTTTACATTTCAAACAACTCAAAAAAAAAATTATCCAAAGGAGACGCTGTTCTCCAATTACCGCTCATCACGAATCAACCAATGATCCTTGCACAAAGAATTAAATTTTTTGATTGAATTTCCTAAAGATTTTCATCTGCGTGCGTAACACTATTGATTTCTTTTTTGAACAAAACAAGTCAACAGGCAATGCAACCTGCCCGACGTGGCTGTGTTTTGGTTGCATAACTTTAAAGAAACTAATTTTATCTAAATCAATGCTGTTTGTGCAACCAGAAATAATTTTTTTATAAATCAAGTATTAAATCATTGAATTTCTTTTGTTTTACAGTGAAATTCTGTCAAATAAAAAATAAGTTTTTGAAAACACGTTTTTTTAGTAGCTAATAGTATTTTATTGATCGATCTCGGAAGCAATCGCTCCTCAAAAGTGATACATCAATCATCAATTCCAATTATTCTAAACTTCAATTTTAAAAAAAAATCCTTGAAGTAAAATTTTAATGTATTTTCTATGGATTTTTAATTAAAGTGATTGCCTCTGTGATAAATAATTTGCAAATAAATTTAAAAAGCACATTCAATTAATGTGTGAATGTGCTAAAATTGAAGTGAAAAACTTCGACTTTTTCCTCATTGTAAAAAATTGTTTTTATTAAAAAATATCACGGCTCTACCAGTTTCGGTTACGGTCTGCGACCCTGTTTCAAGAGCAAGAAAAATACAAAAAAAAGTAAATTGAAAAACTTCAAAAAAAGTACTTTTTTCAATTTGTTGATTTTTTTGTATTTTTCTTGCAGATCGTGACTGAAACTGGTAGAGCCTTCTATTTTTTTTATTAAAACAATTTTTACTTCGAGGAAAAAGCCCGAGTTCTTCATTTCCGTGAGTGTCAATTCCTTCAAACATTAACAAAGGTGCTAAAACGTAAAATTTTCATTGAGAAAAAAAAAACACCACCGACCGTTCTGAAAAATCGTGCAGTCGCAGCCGCGCTTCTGGAAATCAAAATCGCCGTCGCACGCCCGTTGTTGATGTTTTTCGTTGTCGTCAGAGTTGAATTGGGCGCATTAATCACGGCCGTGCCAACGTAAAAGCCGCCGGAAGAAAACTTGAGCGCCGCTGATCTCACAGGGTCTCCTGCGAATAAAGCAAATTGGACGCGAACTCGAGCCAGAAAAGTTTAATATACAAGAAAAAATATTATTTATTCAACACAAAATGCAGCCGTGGGGTGTTTTCTGAGCTCCTTTTCCTTCTCGTTTTGAATCAAAACTCGTGCCCATCTCAAATTCAGAGCGAATCTCTTTTCAATTCGCTAAGTGCAAAAACGACTACAAAAGTAGAGAGAGGGATGCTCATTTATTCGAGTGCGGCAGGGAATCAAGATGTCGTTATGTTGAAAAGGGAGCATTTGTAGTCGAGAAAGGGGCGCGTTTTGTGTTGGTGCGAAGAATTGCGGTCGCATGACACACCACGGTATTTGGAAACCAAGAGGGTCTTTCGACACCTCAACCCTTGCAAAAACAAAGCTTTTATTCGCAGTTTCTTTTCACAAAGACTCGCTCTAAACATTTATTTATAACAGGGGGAGAGTCGCTCAAAAACACGTTATTGGACAAAATCAATAGTTGATAAATCTCTAATTGTCTTTTTGAGACGAAAATGTTGTAGTACTTTTATCGTTTGCAAAGATATATTTAACAGGATGTTATTTAATTTTGAAAATTCCTGTAAGAATGCGGATGCAGTGCAGTATTAAGCTAATTTTACTTTGTTAATTTTGCTATAGTATAAATTACTTTTAATTATATTTTTAAAATTTTTAAATACATATTGTACAGAGTCAAATAAAAGTGAAGTGAGCTAAGGAGGCAGAAATGTCTAATAATTCTTTTAAAACACTTCATAATGCATTGATGCTTGTTGTGTGCAACTTGTATTAAATTTTGTACAATTTTTAGATTGAAATTTTTATTTGTAAGTAAAAAAAGCAAAATGATTAAAAATAAACATGTGAATAAAATTTAAAATAATATAAAATATTACAAAAAGAGATATAACTACTTTGAGCTTTATATTTTATTATATAAATAATGGTTAAAATGAATGATTTAAGTTTTAATTTAATTAAATTCAAATTACATTCCCGTGAAATATTGCTATTGCTATCGCAGAGGATTAAATTGAAATAATTTCCATTCTCTTCAACCATCAAGATAAAATAATTGATTAAATTAATCAAATATGCTTTATTTTGTAGTTTCAGCTACAAAAATATCCCATTTGGCTGATCACAAACACCTTATCGGATTTAAAAAGCATTTGATTATTTTCTTACCAAAGCCGGCGTCATCCTCGTAAAAGAAAGTGACCCTGTTGAAAGGGCAGCTGCGCAAAAAGGTCTGCAGAAATTGTTCTGACGTGTTGAGAAACTGGCCCCAATCACTGCTGCCAGGGGAATGTGCAGTGATAAAATGACAGCAGCAAGTACTCCATAAAACCAAAGCAACGAGCATGATTTCGCTTTTTGATAAATCGCCGCCGATGAACTAACTGCACCTCAGGGACGACAGATATGGAACGGTGCGATTACATAGAGCTCGCTTTCCGCAACTCGCGAGCTGATCAAACGACACTCGAGCGAAGACAGAGATTTACTTTGGCGGTCCGCGCGGCAGCAGAAAAGTTTTTGCTCCACTTTTATGTAAACGGACAGAACCGCAGTTGTCTACAAAAAGTGACGTGTTTGGAAAGTTTATAAATGCGAGTGGTGTGCATTATGAATGAGACTTTTAACTTTTTACAACGCAGAACCAACTTTGGATGGCGATTTACTTTTGCTATATTTACGTAATTTTAGGTGTCAAATGGAGAAAATGAAAACTTTTCTCGCAGAAGGAAAATAAAATTATGCTGTTGTGACATTCGATTAAAAAGGTGATAACAACTTCAGGAAAGAAAAATAGCTCAATACATATTTTCCCTGAGTATCAATCAAAAATATTTCTCTGCTTGATTGAAAGAAGAAAAAAATCAATTTTATCCATAAATTTTGTTATTTTTAACTTTTAAAAAACATGAGAAATAAAGTGAAAGTATCATTACTATTTCTATTTTCAATCAATTTTTGTACAAAAGAAAATTTGGTTGCAGCACATTCTAAATAAAAAATACAAATTAATATTGATCTTGATGAATGATCATCATTTTATTGAACAATTAAGCTGTGAATGCACATCAAATTGCCAATTCTCTAAATCTGATGAACAAATTATTTGAGAAAATTAGCAGATAAAGCTAAAACGAATCAGTGCTGAAGAAATTCAATGACCAATGCTATAGTAATTAGTGATGTTGGCAGTCTTTTTTTCTATTGCTATGCTCAGTAGCATCAAATTTGAAGTACAAAGGAAACACCACGAATCGGTGTCATGCAAGTTTTAACAAGTCTTCGTTGTCAGATGAGATTTTTATTAGGAATAGATAGGGTGTTTTGTGCTGGGGTGTGAAGTCCAATCTCAGCAAATCCCACAGCACCTGACACAATCATCATCAGTAATAAAGGAACAGGCACTGCATTTAGAGATCGTCCCTGCAAGCACATTTATTCGTGAATGGCAAATACTATTAAATTATAAAACTTTTAATTAAAATAATGTTATATTCGAGCAGCCAACAACGTTATAGTCAAAATTTATTCGGAAATAAAACGTGGGCATAATTTTAGCAGTTAAATTAATTTAGTGGTGAATGCTGAAAAAATGATATTTCATAAAATAATTTATATTTAAATATCAGAAATTTGATTCCCTTTATAAGAATCAATTTTCTTCTTTTGATTGCTGCAATTATTATTATTGTGTCTTTGAAACTCAACTTATAATAATATTGACTAAACACAAAACTCTAAATCACTAATTCAAAAACACCGTGCAGTGGCAGTAAAAATTTAATATATTTTGTTAATCATCAAAAGTGCAAGCAATCGTCACAAGCCGAAGATTCCAACTCACAGAATCTCAACAATCTTGGTTGGAATTTTGGCCGGCGACATTTTTTTGCATCTGCTTTTTTCGCACTGCCCTTTGCATGGCCGCGACAATCCTGCAAATCAAGCCCTGACATGCAACATCAAAGACGAATGTCGGAATTACCTTCTCGGGTAAGGCCACTGGTCGTCTTTGTCGGTGAGGGGCACGTACATGACCCCCATGAGCGTCTTCTTGGTCACGGTGCCGTCCAGGCCTTTGTCAATTTGCTGCAACTCCTGGTCCCATCCCTCTGGACCAACCGGAATCACCATTCGGCCACCAGGAGCTAATTGCTCAATCAACTAAAATGAAAGAAAAACACAATTAAAAATTTTCTTCAGGAATATGAAATTTAAAAAAAAAATGTTTTAAAAAACTTTTTTCCAAAAAAAGAGAAAATAATAAATAAATTTAAGAAAGAAGGAAAAATCACGCACTCAATTTGAATTTTCAATACACATATCATCAGGTGTTTTAAAATAAATTCGTTCTTGTGACACAGAAAAGATGAGATTAAATTTTTGCAAAATTTGTGTCCTTTAAATTTCAAATAATGACAATAAAATTCCTAAAAATTAAGTAACTAATGCATTTCAATGGAGAAATTTTAGGAAGTACCTCGACAGGCACCTTCGGCGCAGCAGCTCCAACGTGGATTGCATTGTAAGGAGCTTCCACCTTGTATCCTTTCCTTCCGTCGCCAACTAAAAAAGGTTCGCGGATGTATATTTTGATTCCATCAAGTCAGAATTTATTTTTTACCAACAAGCTTGACTCGTCCGCTGCTCAAAAGTTCGGGTTTGTCCTCCTCGACGTTGCGGACCGACTTGTCCACCAGCTCTTTGATGTGGTCAATGCCAACTGCCTTTCCACTCTCTCCAACCTAAAGAGTCAAATGAACAACAACAAAATTAATTAAAATTCAAAATATAACAATTAATAACATAAATTGAAGAAATTGACAGTCGATGAAATGATCACGGAAATGAAGAGGTTGAGCTTTTCCTCTTAGCAAAAAATACAGTTTTTATTAAATAATAAAAAAAATGGAATAAATTTTCGCAACGACAAAAAGCCCAATTTTTTCATTTCCATAATAAATGATTGTTGAAAAATTCTTTATCTCCAAATTTTTGGATTCATTTCAAATTTTAAAGTAGCGATTTGTTCCTTTCAACTTAAATTAATTAGAAAAACCAAACAATTCATAAAATACCATGAGGGCCATGCAGACGGTCAGGTAGCCACTTCCAGAGCCGACGTCCAACGCTTTGTTTCCTTCCTTCAAGTGGTCCTTCAGGATTTCCAAAGCATGCGCGTGCTAAATATTTTATTTTCAAGAATTAGAAATTGCAAAAGTAGCTTCTAATCTAATTTACCATGTGCGGCGCACTGATGGTGACTCCGTAGCCGATGCCCTGTGGAGCGTCCAAGTAAGGGCTGCTCTCCGAGTATTTGCCCCGGTCAGTCCTCAGCATCGCATCTTCCACTTTGGAGCTCGTAATGATACCGTGTCCTTTAAATTTACATATCTATTATTTAATTTGAAATTGGCTCTTATATTAATCAGAAATGAAATAGTTATGTTTCTATTAAGTCTGAAAATATATTATTTAAAAGAATATGATTCATCTTTTTGTTATCAAATAATGTTAATTCTATCAACCTTATCAAATAGGAATAAACACCCCAAGAAACTCTAAGACAATATTACAATGGATTAAAATTATTATTTCTGCTGCAGTTAACATAAACTATAAAATTGTCCAATTCGTAATACATTTACATATAATTATTCTAATATAAAATAAGTTTTGCAAAATATGTTTATTATGTTATTGAACGTTAAATAAAATGAAAATGAATTAAAAACTTGTAATATTAAATTATTATAAAATTGAAAAAATAATTTAAAATCATATGTAATTAATTCATTTTATTGTTCAAGTGTGAAAATTAATTAATTTTAATACAAAATAATTGTTTAATTTATCTGTAAAATTAAAAAAATAAAAACATTACCTTTCAGGTTCGCAACGAGTTCAGCGTTGGACGTGCCGTGAGATCGCCAGGCCATGGTTGCTCGAAGAATCAAATTCGGGACGACAAAGTAGTTGATGCAGGTTGCCAATGAAAGCAGTTGTCGCATTAAAGGCGAACGCCGAGAACAACCGAAGCGAAAACTGACTATGCAATTCGCAAAAATTAGCCGAACGGCTGCAAATTCAATATAAGAACCTTCCAAAAGTTCTCGGAAATTTCTACTGCACAGCTGATGGGAGTGTTTTGATTTCGGACGCTGCCGGCTTCGGCTTCTTCTGGAGCTTTCGAGTTTCGTGTGGTGGGAGCGCCGAGGCCCGGCAACCCGCATAACTTGAGATGGATAGTTCTGTCGGTCGCCGTAAGATGACTCTTAATTTACCAATTTTACGCATAATATTGTTAAAATTTTAAATCTTTTTACTATTTTTATCATTAAAATTATTTTTAAATATTTTATTATTTTCATTTTGGATAAAAAATACCTTATTTTTTCACTGATAGAAAATTCTCGCATAAGTCTATGATGGAAATTATCAATTAATTTAAAAGTAAAATTTAAATTTAAAGCATTGATATCAATTGTACACATATTAGTAGGAAACAAGGCAAGAATATTGAATTTTGATTCGCGTTTGAATTAAATAAACAGAAATCATAGGGAAAGCCTAAATTTTATTTACAATCTTAAATCTGAAGTAAAAATAATAAACTCTAATAAATTTTGCATTTTAGACAGCTAAATTATTATTATTTGAAACACTTGCGCGCGTGAATAATTTTTATTATCATTGATTATTATTTTCTTACCCATTTTGTTATTTGCAATTATTAAATTCTAGAGACTTGCCGCAGTGCCTGCATGAAAGTAAAATCTTAACTTAAGGTGGAAGATGCAAATTTTATTTTAAATTTTGTCCAAAATACAAAGTTAAATATTTGTCATTTGAATAGATATTGAAATAACATTTAAGTTTGCACGCCTGGGCGTTATGAAAATGCACCAAATTCCAGGAGTTGATTTTTTTTTTTTAATTTTTTAATGCAAAAATGCCAAAGAGGTTGAAAAAATTGCAGTATATTCTTCCTATTTTTCATTACTTGATTTTTTGCTCTCTGCACCATTTTCTGTTAATTACTTGTTTATTCTTTACTATAAAATTCATGCAATGATCGAAATAAAAAGTTGATGAAGCTGAAAACGCAAACCAAAGGTCCGCCAGCTTTTATCCTGAGCCACTCTTTATCCTTTCCGCATACATCGCATTCAGTGTGTGCCGCAGCCAACATTATACTGCAAAAGCACACACATCCACCAGTTGAAAATATTATCAATTAACTTTAAAAATTTATATTTTATAATTTGAATTACTGAAAAAAAGTCCTTGATGAGTCTTAAGAAGCAAACAATACATTTCCATGATTCTTAATTCTAATGAAGAGTGAACTGGTCATTATTATTTGTATATTAAAACTTTTGAATTGCATTGCATTATATTCATAATTATATAAGCTGTGCTATAATAAAAATTAATTAAACAAAGTTTATTAAGTAAAATATTAACTATTATTTAAAAATTATTAAAAGTTATATTATAAAATAAATTACATAATGTTTTAAAATAAAAATAAAAAAACATGAGGATTTATTTTAAATTAAAAGTAACTTTTTTTTAAATCTTACATTTCGTAATTTAATAAATAAAATTCATAAAATGGCACGAGGGCTATGCCAACGATCATGGTAGCCACTTCCAGAGCCGACGAATTAGAAAGATGTTGCAAAAAGTAGCTTCTAATTTACCATGATTTACCAAATACTTATGGTGACTCCATAGCCGATGCCCTGCGAAGCGTCCAAGTAGGGCTGCTCTCCAAGCTCCAAGACAATAATAATAATAGGAATAATATGAAGATTATAAATTATGTCCAATAAAAACCGTATATACAACTTGGACTGTAATTTATAAAAAAAAAGTAAATATACAGATTCAAGTTTATAAGTTGTTGCTTGAGGTGAATCAAAGGTCACGTGTCGTGTGAGCCAAGCAACCACGAACGTGCGCTCTGCTGCAGTTCGCATTTGGTCGCGAGCACTTGAGCTTTCCACGTGTAATTCGCTCCTCGCAGTCAAGAATGGCCGACTCTCGCCCTTACGAGCAGCGGTTCTTCCGCAAATTCAGCCAGTGGTACTATATCGACGCTAAAAAGGTAAGATTCCTTCTTTAACATTGATATGCATAATATAAATTTTAATTAATTAAAATGTCCATTTAAATGCGAATAAAAAATTAAATTATTAATCTAGTAATTCAAGAGCCAATTTTTTATTAGAACTGCTGTGTAAATATTTTAAATTTTTTCTCTCCAAATTTAATATCTTGATTTTGAATTTAAAAAACTTAAACCTATTTTTTACAAAATACTGATTAAATTATATTTTTACATTACAATTAGAAATTTATTTATTTTTTAATTATCCAGTTGGATGCAATTGCATATTTCGCCACTTGCAAATTGTATATTTTAAATTAATACAATAATTTAAATAAATTTCTCATTTTATTTGGACGTGTGAATTCAAAAGACGTCAAATTTCCGATGAATGTCACTTGTCAGACTTTTGGCATTCTCTAATGCATCGCTGGTGCAAATTGCAGGACATTCCATCACCGGACGTGCCTGAGTTGGTCACTTTGCTGCGCGCGGTCGGCTTCAATTTGGCCAGCATTGGCCTGGGAAAAAACGCCACCGCGAATTCCGGCCCGAAACTGACAGGAATGAAGGTGACCGTCCAGTGTTTGGCCTCGGGCGTTGTGGCTGAAATGGAGTTGCCGGCGTCGCCTGGCAATGCAGAGTGTCGGTGCTCCATCTTCAAGGGCAACCCGCAGCCTGAGGTCGCTGTGCAGGACCAGGCCTCGTTTTGGGAAGTTACATCAAGTCAGGTAAAAAAAAAAAATTGGTTCACGCAAAAATAATAATTAAATTTTAAAACAAATTTAATTTTATCCATGAGTATAAGTTTGTAATAAATGGATTTTGACCATTTCAAATTTACAAATATTAATTTATTTTTAAAAATAATTATTTTTATCCTGCGCACTTAAATTTGATCGTTTTATTTTTCAGGAAAGACTGAATCACACAATCGGAAGTTCTCTGCTGCCGAATGTGGACCCCAATCACTCGAGGGTGATCAAAGAGGTGTTCCAACTGCTGCAGGACGACTTGTCCGCTTCGCACGAGGCCAACAAACATGCAATGCAGCGAAGACTTTCTCTGCCGCCCGTTCCAAAATTCAGCGACGACGCAAATTCTTCGACTAGCTCCAGCGTGCAGCACTCGGTCGACTCCATTGACAAATTGGACGGTGGCAGCGTTTCAAACATTCTCACTAGAAGGTATTATTTCATGAAATTAAGTTTAAATTTTATGGCAAAGTTCAAGTGGTTTAAATAGTGAAAAAAGTCAAAAAAATATACCTTTTTATAAGAAAAAGTCTAAAATATTAATAATCTTGACATGTCTTCTTTTCCTTTACATATATTTTATCATTTTTAATAATAATTAGATTAATTAAGTCTATATAAATTAAATTTAATTAAAAAAATTATAGAGCTCCTTCAAGTTCAATATAGTGTATATTAAGCAACAAAATTGTTTCAAAAATTTATTTTAATTTATTGAAATGTGTATTTTTTTCTGATTGCTAATTAAATTCTTGTGAATTTCAGGGCCAGTTTTGGTTGCAACGATGACCTGAAAAACATGCAGCCCCTGCCGATGCTGACGCCAAAACCAAAGAACCTGTTGGACGACAGCAACTCCTCCCTGACTGACTTTGAAACTCCCAAAGCAATGCCTCTGCCGTCCACCGGCCACAGAGACAACAACAACGCCATCAGAAAACTGCTGACCGCCGCCCTGAAGCTTCTGGATTCCTCCAAGGGCAAGACTGAGGCTCGCAGGGCCACCTTCAATCTTCCCCCTGCAGAGAGTGCGCAGGACTCGGCCAAGAAGAATGTTACGAAATATGTTGCGACCCCGAGAATGACCAAGTCCACTGTGCAGAACACAAGGGTGCCAACCCCGAAGCCTTCGGCGACCAGACTGGTCAGGACGTCGTCACTCAGGGGCACTGCGTCAACAACACCTTCCGCCTCTTCTATGATTCCAGGTAAATAATGAATTTTAAAAATGCGTTTAAAAGAATTACAGATTTTAGACAGAAATTTATATAGTTGGTTATTATAAAATGTTCAAAAACAAAAACTTTGCCCTATTGAACTAGAACATCAAATAAAAAAGTAAAATGAAACATATAAATAATTTAAACAAAAATGGAATTTTTAATAATATGATATATAATAAAAAATTATCTCCCTTTCAATGAATTTGAAATTTCATAAAGAAAGTCTAGAGCAGATTATAATAAAATTTTATTCCAACAAAGTCTTGAGTAAAAATTTTAACTTTTTCTCATTGAAAGCTGATTTTTATTTAAGAAGATTTTCTTATTTTAAAAAATTTTTCTGTCAGTAATTGGAATTGATCACTTTTAAAGCTATGAAAATAATTTTTGATTGAAATTAAGGGTCCAAAAATTCAGGTCCATCGACTGCTGCAGTCAAAGCAAGGACCGCGGAGACTATCCGGAGGCGCACATTCATCGTGAACGACCAAAGTAAAGCTCCGAGGGTGTCAAAAGGCAGCGTTCTGTCCCCAAGCATTGAAACAGCAGAAAACAACGTCCAAGTGGTCACCCCTCTGCGGCAGGGCTCAAAGTCCAAAGTGTCCGAACGCAAGTCCCTGCCTCCTCGTCCGACGTTCAACAAGGAAAACCAGCCGACCAAATGATTGAGTTTTAATTATGTTGTGATTTTATTTTCTTGCCACACTTAACGATATTTGGAAAAATGGAAAATTTTCTTGTAAATCCTTAATTTCCCCAAAAATTTGAAATCTGCTCGGAACACTTGCAGATTTGTTGTTTGAATTGTAATACTTGATTTTTGTGTGTATCTTTTGGAAACAATCTTATATTTTCTCGCTTGTGATTATTTTATTAGCAGGCACTAGTTTTGTGTTTTGACGACAAATGGGCCTCTTGAAAGGCGTAATGTGGCCGCGTTTGCGGGATAATCCCTCTTGGCGGGCGCACGCAGCCTCCGCCATAATCCCCAGCGTATTTGCCTGCGAGGCGCCATCACAGATGACATTTCCGTGTCGCCCGAGGATTAGGAGCTCTCCAGAGCCTCCCTCTTCTATGTAATCAAAGTCTTTTAGAATTTGCTGTCAAAATCTCGAGCCAAAATTGTAACTCGAGATGGTGACAGAGTGTACTTTTTTTCCCTGCCAAAAGTGATGTATTAAAATTGTATTTTGTCTCTAATTTGTTGTAAAATAAAAGAATTTTGTTCATTGGTGGGAGTGATTAATTAATTTTTTCTATGTAAGATTATATTATTTTGTACTTTTATCATCACCAACGCAGCCATTAAATTTCTACCGACCACAATCAAGTAAAATATTATATTACTTTTATTTTCATAACAAACACCAAAAATACATAAATACTGAGGATATATTTATAAAAGTTAATTATCCGATGGATCTGCAGGTAAATGACAGAGCAAAATTAAGTTGATTCAAATCAACCTCTGGAGGTCTGAAGGAAATTTCGCGCGGTGTGTTCAGAACAAAGTCATGTGTACTTACGGCGGGCGAGCTGATTTAAGTTTTAGCCGAATCGCTGGTGCTGCGGAATTGACAGAGAATAAAGCCATTATAGGCTTGTCGACAGAGTGAGAGCGGCGCCATCAATAATTCAGCCAGATTTTGTCATCAGAGGATTCGCCCTTGTTCTACGAAGCAAGTAAGCGCCGCGTTTACCTAAGGCTTGAATCAATTCGCTTTGGTACATTTCTCGTGAAACTCTAGACTCGCTGAAATTTGCCACTTTGAGAGATACAAATGTTGAAGACTTATGTACTGAACTATACATAATTATCTTTGTTATTATTGATTCAATTTAATGCAATGAACTTGGTTAGTTTAAAAAATTAAATATTTTTTACTCAATTTTTAAAAATCCACATAATCTACTAAATTTTCCCTTATTAATAAAATAAAATTTTCATCATTCTCGATTCTATAGCGTATGCTGGGATATTTATTTACTGTAAATGATTTTTTTTTTAAAGATACTAGGAGATTTAATTTAAATCAAGAAAAAACACATTAATAATTATCAGGCTACTCTCTAAAAGTTAAATTTAACACCCTCTATGCTACACTTAATAAAAACTGCTATGAACAATTTTTGTGTTTTCTTTCTTCACACTTTTTTGATTGTTAAATCTTAAACAGCAAATGTTTTTCTCATCCTCTCATCATTAAATACTAAAGCTGTCAAAAGCATTCAGCCTATAGATAATTATTCCATCAACACGCGCGCAGCTTTGCCGCGAGTCAAGTGGCGCGCTGCTTGATTAAATTGTATTCTCGCGGCGGCTAATTTATTCGGGGCCACTTAATGAGTCAGTACTAATGTTATTTGCCGGCGGGGGGGATAAACGCGCGGCGGGCGAGGGAGGTGCACAGCGCTGAAGTGCATATTGGGATTTCTCATCATCTTTGAGAGCAATATCAGCCACTTGATAACCACTAAAAGCGGCTCGCACCCTCTTTTGTCTATTCTCTGCCGGCTCCATTACCACTGCTGGCTTTATTTTCCGCACCCCTTGCGCATTTTCCGCTACGGCGGCGGCAGCAACAACAAAAACATCGGCTTTTTCTCACACTCGTGTATAAATGCGCTTCGCCTGCAGTTGACGCTCTCTTCACCACAGTTTAACAGCCAGATTTGATCCAATTATTTTAACTGAACAAATAATTTCACAGCATTGAATCAATATTAAATTTTAAGTTCCAGCTAAAAATTAAAGCTGCTTTTGGCGTGACAAAAATTACGTTTTTCCCTAATTAATTCAAATTTAATTTATAAAAATAGAGCTTTTTACATCATCAAAGAAAACCTTATATCCAATAATTTATTTTGTACATACAAATTTACATAATTAGTCATTAAAACAAAATTGACGCAAATTATTCGCGTTATATTGCAAATAAAAATAACTCACTCTGGACAGGATCTTTATGATCTCGCAAGTTTTAACAAAATCTTTTCTGCTGGTTGTGTCTTTCAGTCCAAAACAATTCAATGCCCCTCACCAAACACACCCCCTCGCCTTTTTCATCCATAAAAATAGAAAAATAAAAATAAACAATTGATTTAAAAATTGCAAAAAGGAAACAAAATTTTGTTTAAAAAAAAATCCTAATTTTATCTCATAAAAGCTGGAAATAGGCTAAAAATAAAGATTAAAACACATAAAATGTTTTTAATAAAAAAAAAAATACAAATAATAATTAAAAAATAATATTAAATAGATAAAATAAAAGTAAATATCTTAAATGTCAGCTAATTTCTTATTTAATTTTTCAAAAGCTCATGAATCAGGGTTGCAACCCGCAACCGAAACTAGTAGAGAAGGGATTATCTGTATGTCATGCAGTAAAAATACAGTTGCTCATCTTCACCGGGCAAGCTTATTTTATTTGATAAAAAAATCTGATTGTATCTGATACTAATAGTCTGCGTTGCATTGCAATATTATAAATTGAGTGAAATCCAACCTTGAATCATCAATATGAGCATAAATTTGCATAATTTATCTTAAAATATTTGTTAAAAACTTCAATAATGCGTTTTTTTCTACACCATACTTAAGATTTGCGTAAATTAGCAAATAACTTTAATTTGTCTGTTTGAAATTATTGAGAATTTCACAAGAAAAAATTGTTAATATCCATTATCTATGAAAAAGCAAATTGATAATATAATAAAAATTCTTCTATTCCAACTTTTATAATTTTCAGAAAAAAATTTATTTTTATAAGTCCAGGTGATTTCGAGGCGGCGAATTCCTCTTTTCCTTTTGAAGATTGACCAGTCAATTGTGCGGTTCATTTTGTATACGCAACAGCTTATGTATAATTTTCAAATCGGTGTCCATTGATCGGAGCCGTTTGGGCTTGCATGAACCAGCACATGCACCCTCACACTATCAATAGTCAATCAAGAGAGGCGATATTGACTCAAAGTCTTTACAATATACATATGCGCGCGGCGGGCCAAATTTGTTTGTCGATCGCGTTCAATATTACATGATTTGCCGCTTGCTCGACTCGCCAGCATCTCTCGTCCGTAGGCACATACATAAGTCTTATTGTGTATTTACACCCATGCCGCTGCAGTGTACACACACCTGGACATTGTGTACGGGCTGCATTCGGGCTAGCTGTGTGTGTGGCTGCGCCGACACAATGCACCGCCGACCGCCGCTCCAACCGTGTTCAGATGATGAGACATTCGTGCTCAATCGCCGCAAACCAAACCGCTTGTGAGACGCCGAATGAATAGCTTTTGATCCACGCCTGACAATACAGATATTATATTGTGAGATTTGTGCGCCGCACCGACTCAATTTCGGACCCTTGATATCGTAAATTAATATTTAATATCAATATTGAAAGTGAAATCTAAGTTTTTTTCCAGATTAATTCTGTCCTTTGTGCCTGAATTTCCTGATTGATTCATGGTATTTAAATGCAAGTTCAAACTGCTAATTTTTTTATTTATTTAATAGTGTTTTAGTTTTTTATCATGTTTATTAATCTTTAATAAGATTTCTTCTAGAAAAATGTTTAAATTTAAATCATCTTTATAATTTTCATTACATTCAGCGCAAGACAAGTACGTTCCAATGGTTTCAATGAAATACATATCATGTTGTATAAGAATAATTCGCAATAATTAAAGATTTGAGATAAAGAAATGTCAATTATTTTAGCTTGGTTGAAGATTAAACTAAATTTTTTTTAATTAAAAAAGAAGAAGTGTAACAATATTAATAACGGAAAAAAAGAATAAATAAGATTGCTGTATTCTTGAAACTATTATAGAATTATAAATGACAATTAACTCAAAAAGTCTTAAATTTAGTGATACACACAAGATTGTCTTTTAAGTTGACTTAGCCATCGTCATCATATATCAAGAAAGTTTAAGCAGAAATGAATAATAAATATCTTTGTTGTTATTGTTGTTTGTTCTCGTCTCTCGTTTTTTTTATTTATACTTGAATTTTTAAAAGTTTTTTTACATGGTTTTACTGAAACTGTGCGAGAAAAACTTAGCTTTAAAGAATACATACCAAAATTTTTACTTTGAATTGAGAAATTAATTTTTAAATTACTCAAAAATTACTATTTTAGTGTCACAAGAAATCAAAAATTCGATTAAAACCCTGAAAATTAGGGCAAACAGAGCAACATAACTGGTCTGGACCGCGATTTATCAGACCTGAATGTTTCGACTGAACCTCCGCACTCCTATAAAAATATACCTAATATGAAATATCTCAATGTGTTCTAACTAGTCAGCATTTAATCTCACAAGTCAACACACACACACAAAAATTATGTGTGCGAACAATTTCCCTCTGTTCCTCTCTCAACTGGAGCGAGTGTTTAATGCAGTTGGCATTACGCAAGATAACAAAGAGAGAGCGAGCAGCGCAGAACCAAAGCAGCGAGAGAGAGAGAGAGAGAGAGAGAGAGAGAGAGAGAGAGAGAGAGAGAGAGAGAGAGAGAGAGAGAGAGAGAGAGAGAGAGAGAGAGAGAGAGAGAGAGAGAGAGAGCCTCTCATCAGATGACTGTGTGTTCCATGGAGATGCTGCGAGTAACGCGCGCGCCACGCCTCTCGCTTATTATTGGCAGAGCACGAGGCCAACCTCCCTCGAGTGAGCGACGGCGGCGGCGGAACAACCTGCGAGATCATCTGCCTAAACACTGTGCCACTTACTTATGCATGACGAATCGCTCGTTAGTCACTTGGTCACATGGCCGAGTCAAATTTCGCTGCACGCATAGCAAATTGGCCAAATGTTTTAATTAAACCAGTTTATGCCCTCGTAAGTTTGTATTACCGAACTGAAAGTTTATATAGATTTCATTTTTTAAATCTTAAACATCATATAAAATATATTAAACTATAAAATTAACAAGTTGCAATTTATGTCTCGGGCAAGGGTGTGTTGAATTATTTACAATCAGCAAGGGTAGCGATAGCGGCAACCGTTTAAGCTTGGATGACGTGCGCGTTGCCTATCCTAACATTTTCAGGAGTACAGGGGATCTTACTATTCGTTTTTCTCTAACAACGGTAAAAAATGTTATATTAAAACAATGTTACCGCATTGCAGGTGAACAAAAATCTGGATGTTTAATTTATGAAACAAAATTTTTAATTAATGCAGTTTCACAAAAACAATTAAGTAGAATCTCTACATTTTTCCATCATGAATTGAAGGGAAAAGATACAAAATTAAGATTTATTTAAAATTTCACAAAATATCCAACCATAAAACCACCATGGGCTATAGTTTTCATTATTATAATCAAAAATATTTTTGCAAATATGTGTCTATTTTTCCATTTTTCTTTTTAATTTTCGAGCTGCATTGATTATGTAGTCTGAGTTATCAAATTATTTGCAAAATAAAACAAAAATTATTGAAACCAGAGGTTAATTATAAAAAGTACAAGAAATTAATTACAAGCTGTATTAAAATTGAAGTAAAGAGAGATTGTTTGGCGCCGAGCGAACGCTGCCGGCGACGAATCATCCCTTAATTCAATTTGAGCGCCGGGGGCTTCGCAGCAGGCGGCGAAGTAGAAGCCGAAGACCACCCTGCTTTTCCGCAGGGGGTGCGAAGCTGTTGGCCCCTCCCCCGGAGTGGGAGCGGAGGCCGCAGGAGTTGGGCCGCATCTCGCGGCTCGGCGGACGGACACACTCGCAAACAGGTGGGCCCGAACCATGGTCGAGACCATGCCGAGCTGCAGCAGCGACAGTTCCCGCAGCAGCAACAGCGGAAGTCCGCTGCCCCTGCTCAGGCGTCCCATGCCCAGTCCGATCGCCCTCAGGGCCTACACGGCGCCCTACCTGGGGCCGCCGTCGCCCCCGACCGCCTCCTCCTCCTCCAACTTCACCATCGACAGCATCCTCGCGCGCGGGCCCTCGATCGCCTCCTTGCCGCCTCCGAGGGGCCTCCACGCCATGCTGCCCCAGCACTTCCAGCTCGGACACCTTCCTGCTTTCGGATCGGCCGCCGCAGACTTCCTAGGTGAGTCCTTTCATCCCCCTTATAATTTAATTATTTCATTGCGTGCAAACCAGGTGTTTGTTTTTTTTTCTCCAGAAAACCTTAAAATTGCGAATAAAAATAAAGACAAAGGATTTCATTAGTTAATAAAAAAAATTGATAAAAGTACATTTAAATTTCTATAGATTTTTGTCTTTGTTACAAAATAAATTTCAATTAAATTAATTTTTATTAATTCAATATTAAGAATCTTCTTGGTGAATTTGCTGCCTAAAAATTAGTAAAGCTAGAATTATGAGATCATTAAATATGAATATATTTTATACATAAGTACAGATAGAAGTAAACAAAACACAAAACGACCATATTTATTAATTTTTTCCATGTCACTTATCTTCATTTTAATTTGATTCACAATTCAGTTCTACACCCTGAGAACACAAGCTCTGACACTAATTTAAGATATGTATATTTCTTTAAATTAGTGGCTAAAGTTGGGCCGAAATTTTGATATTATATATAAAATTATAATCATTTTTCTATCTAATAGTTTTAAAATTATTAAAACGGGTCACAAACTTCACAAGTTCAATGAAGTTAAATAAATTAGTAAATGGATATAAAAATAAAATTTTATTTAACATAACAAACAAAATTGTTTAAAATAAAAAAAATCATTACGTACAATATATCTGTAAGAATAATAAAAATTATTTATAAGTTACAATAAAATTTTTTTAACTTTGCTGTCGATTTCATTGGTTGTTTTAACATTTGGGAATCAGATTTCTTTGGCAATTTACAAATAATATGCTATTCACGGAACAGACCTTTTTCCTCCTTATCGAATGCATAATTATATTAGAGAGAACCGACCGAGAGCGAATACAGATCACAGTCGATTAACCTCTCGGTGTTTTTTTCCCTGAGAGAGAGATCGGTACCGACGAGAGGAAACGCAGCACACGCTTTGCTTTTATTATTTTATATTCTTTCGCCGACTCACTCCGTGCGCTAAAACTCCCCTTTTTGCTTTCGAATATTCTCTCGATAAGCTTATGTAAACTGAAACAACGAGAGCGAGCGGTATAAAGTTGTTATTTTAATCTCATCCCGCAGCAGCCGCTCGGAAATCTTACGGCAATTTGAATTTCACCCCGCCGATGCTGAGCTTTGCAATGTCTTCTTGGTTGACGCTCAGTAAAAATTTGCGCCGCTGGTCACCCGTTGTATTTTGCCAGTCGCAAAAATAACATCGGAGATGGCAAGAAAAAAATGTCCCTTGCTGAAATTCGAAATTTCGGGGAAGGAAATAAAATTAACGAAAAATCATGTATTTCACTGCTGCATTTTTTGCTCAATAAACCCATGTCGGCTCCGCAAGGGAAAAAGTATAATCGCATTTTTGGCGTTCTCATTTTTTTGCGTCGCTGCAAGGCAGAAATTAAATTTCTCCGTGAATTAAGTTGCTTTGGCGCGGAAAACATAAAACCCGCCGAGCGCGGAGAAAAGTGCTGCTGGTGATCCAGTGGCTTATTTTTTGTGCCGAGACTTTTTAAAGAACAAGAGCAAACAAAATTATTCATTCTCTGCTGTATACGTCGAGTTGCGATTTAATTTCATTAAAAAATTACGTGCGCCGGCCTGGGGAGATGAATATTTAAGTAAATGAAAAGAATAATCCCCCTGTGGTTGTTTTGCATTTGGCTCTCAAGCTTGAGAAAAGCTTTACTATAATTGCAGTTTTCCTTCATATCGATTCATTTTAAAAGGTTTTAGACTTTCTTTGCGTTTTTATCAATGAAAATTTATAATCGAATTACTTCCAGAAATGTAACGACCATACCGCATTTAAGGAGAAAATCCTTTTTCAGGAGATTGTATGGGCGAATCATTGGTTTGGAATCATTGGATATTGGGTTATTTGTGCGTGTCCGGTGGGAACGTTACTTTCACTTGGACGCACCGAAACCCTTTGAGGGTTGCGCCGAAAAGGTTTTGTAACGGAATAAGACGGACAGTTTAAACGAGTAAAGAAGCAAAATCAGCGTTGCAGGTGAGACAGAAAGTATAGGTTGGTTGAAGGGGTTGCAAAAAACGCACGGATTAACGGATTTGGAGACTGCAATAGGCGATACAGTATATAAATATTTTAAGGGATGAAGGTGCGCTAACTGCAAATACATGTGAAAAGTGTAAGTTTTTTAATTTAGTGTTCATAAAATTAAAATATAACTTAATTGCCTAAACTAATCATTGGACAGCGTTTGAAATTTCAATCCAACGTGGATTTTGATACTTTTGATTTAATTAAATGTTATTTGCATAACATAATTTGCTTCAGATCAATTTGTCAGAGATGTAAAAGTTGTAAAAGTTAAATTCTAATCAACTCAAGTTTGATCATTATAGAAAATCTTAATTATTCATAAAAAAGTGCTCAATTATTTAAAACACAAAAATAATTGAGCATTAAATGTTTAAAAACAATGAAATTCTGGAAATATTCCAAATATTCTTGTTAAAAAAATTGTTTTGGTAAAAAATTGGATTGTGAATGTTTCACAATCGAATATTAAAAGAATTGTAAATTTAGATTTTAAAATTAGAATGAAAAATTTAAACAGGGCGAACCTTGCTAGAAAATAAAAATAAAAGAATTAAATGGGGAGAATTTAATTTAAAATAATAATAATAATAATTTAAAATTATTCTCTTGCAGTACAAATTATCTAGAATTAATCGCAGAAAAGATTTATAATTTTGTAAATTATTTATTTTGCAGCCGTGGCTTATCAGGGTTTTTACCCGAGCTACCACCACGCAGCGGTGGCCGCGGCGGCTGCCCACGCGGCCGCCGGCAACTTGGGCCCCGGAGCTCTGCACGGCGCCGGCGGCCCTCCGCCGCCAAAGCGGAAACGCAGACACCGCACCATTTTCACCGAGGAACAACTTGAGCAACTCGAAGCCACCTTCGAAAAGACGCACTACCCTGACGTCGTGCTCCGTGAGCAATTAGCCCTCAAAGTTGATCTCAAGGAGGAAAGAGTGGAGGTGAGTACCGAATTTTTACATCAGTTTATTAATTTTTTGTATTGCTTGGAACTGAAAATATGGAAAATGTAAAGTTCAACACAAAATTGGGTTTAAAACTTTGTATAAAAGTCTTGATATCTTTATTAAATACTGCTGAATTTTTCTTTTGAAAGGATATAAATTTCGCAAAACTTTTGACAATATCCATTATTCAGCATTTTGAGCATTTTTAGGTTTCTCGTCCCACATAGTCAGTTTAATGTGATTTTCCTCTCTGCGGCGTGCGGGCGTTCGAAAAGAGCAAAGTTAATTGTTCCCTCTCTGTTCACGTGTTTGCGCTTTTAAATTAATTATTAAAGCCCCAGCTTGCAGGCGGGCGCGGGGGTTTATTTCGGAAGAAAGGCTTTGTTCGTTAATTTGGCCGCCGAGCGTGGTCATCCGTGAGATATGCGCGCGTCAACCCTTTCTTGGAGCAAACTCCTCGGAAAGAAACAATAGACACACTGGCCGGACAAAGTTGTGCTGCCGGGACAAAACTTGGGGCCCAACTTCTTGCTCTCTCTCCCAAGTTGATGTTGTTAAAGGCCGGCGGCGTGTTTTGCGAAACGGCAGCTCACGCTGAATAATTGACGCGCGGCTACTCAAGGAAGGGTTAATAATTGATAATCTCCATTAAAAGGGTGATTGTTTTCCAAAATCTGCACAGATTTGCCAAAAGGTTTATTATTTCTGGAACACAATATATATTATATTTTTTGGACTTTTGATATTGGATGCAAATGAAGCAAAAATTTGTTGTGCGTGATGTGCCCCGCGTTTAGCTCCTCCCATTGGATTCCCCCATTGGGTATTAGCTCGAGGGGACGTTGCATGAAAGAGATAATAAAAGGCGCGTTGACAACAATTTGCAGTGCCAGCGGATAATATTCAAGTTTGAATCACAAAGGAAATTTTATAACCAGTTTTATAAGTAATTTTGTAGAATTTCATGGTGATTTTGAGTTTAAATTCAGCTTTTCCTTGATTTTTTTAAGTTTTTTATTGTTTAAAAAAAAGACAATATCCTGCTCTACATGTTTCTGCTGCGCAGGCTGCAGCTATAATTCATGAGCTGTAAAATTATTGTGAAAAAAATAGTACACAAATTAATTTTAAAAATGTTTTCATAAAAATAATAATTTTATCTCAAAATATTTTTTCTTTTATTTGATGAAAACACTTTTTTGTACCAATTTTGTCAAAATAATTTCACAGCTCATGAATTATTGCTGCAACCCACAGCAGAAACATGTAGATCAGGATATTGCTTTTTTATTTCTTAATAAACAAAACAAAACTCATCAAGGAAAAGCCAAATTTCAATTCAAATCAGCACTTATGCGCAAGCTAAACATTTAGAGAGATTATTAAACGCGATTTCAAAAACATTTTAAGGGGTTTATATATAGTTTCATGTATGTAATTGAATATTTCCTCCCATATTTATGCATTATGGACTCTTTTTTTTTGAAATAGTCAAATCAGGCGATATCAGGTCCTTCAATACACGCCTGGTTAAAGTTTGTAAGACTTGATTTGATTAAGCGCTCCTATAGAAGAAAACATCTCATTGAGATTATGTTTTTTTTTGCAACCATTATATCCCCTTCAATATTGATCTAAAATGATATTAAATTTTAAGTCATATTAATGTGCAAAAATCTTAAAATAATTTTGAAATCATGAATTTCAATCCAAATCAGATATTTTCACCACATCAGAACATATAGCAGAAGTTTGCCTTTGCTGAATGAAATCATCGCCGGCGCCGACTAAACGTCTGCGGAAAATTATTACTTCGAACAAAGCTGAATAATTCGGGAACGCGGATTGTTATTTCAGATGGATGAGAGCATCATCATCGCGCGCGCAGTAATGATTAGATGCGATGAGATGTAATTCTGCCGGCGCATATATATAATGCGTATACGCACGAGAGAGTTGAGAATATCCGCGCTGCTCTTCTCTCCCAGCAACTCGGATCGCAAACAAGCGCAGTGGGTGGGTGGGTTGCGGGCAAGAATAAGTGCAAGGAGAGAGGATGTTTTGATAAAGCGGAGGAGGATCCGAAATGTATCTCTCGGTGTAATGTGAGGGTGCAGCGCCCGGGATTGAAGGGATAATATTCAGCGCGCGGCGAATTCTCTGCCGCAGCATCTTTGCATATCATAAAAATAACATCCCTCCCGTCCTTTTTCGCTCTCTTTCTCGGTATAAAAATTAGCTCCGGGGCTTTTATGGATTAAAATAAAAATTAGCCGACGACGAGAGCCGCGGCTGCCATTTCCATCTTTTTTCTCCCCGCCGCTGCCGGCGAGCAGATAGAACTTGATTTTTATTTAATTTGCTAAAATAACAATCGTCTTGAGAGTTATCTCTTTTCCTCTGCAAGCGCGGAAAATAAAACATGCCTTTTCCCAGCACAAATTTGTAATGCTGCTTGGAGAGTGGAACAGATTTTCCAGCACAGCACTCGCGGCGTCGCGAAATGTGCTGCAATAAGAAAAAGTGCCGCAATGCTTGGGAATAAACTTTTACGTTGCATCAACTTTCATTTTAATTTATTGTGTAAAAAATTAAATAACACAATCGGATGCATGTAATTGAATTTTATAAAAACCTCGATTCCTGCAAAACGAATATAGAGAATGATAGAGACGTTTTATAAAAGTACTTTGTTTTTAACATTTTTTTTATTTTTTACTGTTTTTTATTTGTCCAAATTGCTACATCACATTGATTGCATTCAATTGTTGAAAACAATTTATTTGAAAAGAAAGGAATCGTTTGACAAGACAGCACCACCGCACTAGTAACAATTTTGCTAAAACTGTTTTTTTATTTTTTAATACCTATTCTGAATAAAATACATTAAAATTAATTTTATTCTTAATAATTCTATAAACGGCAGTCTGTTTTGTTTCTGTAGTGAGAAAAAATATTTAAAAAAAAAGTCTAAAGCTGCCAACTCTCAACGGTTTATTAACATAGTCAAATCAAGTTTTTACATCAATTGTGATTTAAATTTCCAATTGTCTTATACCAAAACAAATGTAAAAATCTGTTTCTATTTTTGTGAGGACTTGATTTGACTATGTCAGTAAGGAGTCCTTAAGTTTTGTTTAATTTTATTATTTGGCATCATGAACAGATCCGTTTTCTCCAAAATATTTAATTTGAATAAAAATTTTAGTACGAAAGGTTGCTTCAATATTTTTTTTATTTATTTATTGGATATAATAATATTTTAAATTAAACTAATTTTTCATCAAATCAAAAACAATTGATACAAACTGTTGTTTGTCTGTGAGAGGATATTAATATTTCCCAGACAACTTTTGAAAGCACTTTTCCTGCAGCATTCAACAAAATGACTAAAATTCACGGTGCATTTAACTCGGCAGCTTCTCGGCTGCTTTGCATGCATTGTTTCCGTCTAAAATAATTACCCATCCGCGAATACAATAATTAAGCCACCCCGTTATATCTGCTAAGTCAATCGAGGATAATTTGACAAACGAGCGACAGTCGGTTCGCTGCTCGAATCGGCAAGTTGAAATTGCGCGGCGCACATTACATATACAAATGTACAATATGCGCGCGCGTTTACACGCCTGTGATGCCGCACAGAGCGCCGCGCGTTATTATTACCTTTGTGAGTGTCTCTCTCTTGTTATATTGCAAAACATATTGCGACGTGTTCGCTTTGACAGGGTTCATTATTTAAGTCCTCTAATGAGCACATACTCTGTGAATTATTAGCAAGTTTTCCACGATAATGGCTCCTTTGATGTCGCGTTTTATTGTGACACAAAAGGATCTTATCGAGCAACAGCAATATAAATAAATGACTTAACGAGACTTTATGAAAGTTGAGCCGTGCCTGTTTCAAATATTGCAAAGACTCTTTCTGCTTCTTCTTGATCGTTAGTGCTCTCTCGCGGAAGAAGTCAGCCGTCCGCCCTTTGTCTTTGAACTTTCAGCCGGAAAATTGAGATAAAAAAGAACAAGTCGACAGCCGGCGTCCCGGTTGCAGAGGAAAATTCTGCCGTTGTCTGATTTATATTGCAAATCTGTCAAGAAGAAAAGTCTCAAGCACTGTGAATATGTCAGCTTTTGAAATCAGGATATACAGACATTCCTTGAAGTCATTTGCGTGTGTTGACAACTTTTGTGTAAGGGTAAAAATTTATTTGCATCAGCAAATAATCATACTCTGCTCTGAACTCGTTGATGTATAAGTCCCAAAAAGCGTTTTACAAAACTAAAACCTATTTTCTTGATTATTATTATTCGTTTAATAGAATTTTAAGAAAAAGTTATGAAAAATATTATTGAAATTATTTCAAAATCATTAATATTTTCCTATTATTTTGCTGTCGCTCATAATTATGGAAGTGAAGAACCTGGACTCTTTCCTGCTCATTGTAATTTTTTTTTCAAAAACAAATCTGCCAGTTTCGATCACGGTCTGTGTCCCTATTTCATGAGCAATAATAATAAAAATAATAAATATACAAAAATTCAGCACATTGAACAACCGTGTTTTTAACAACAACAAAATCAAAACTTAAAAAATTTGCTCATTTTTTCCTATTTTTTTTCCTTCCTCGTGAAATAGGGTCGCAGACCGTGACCGAAACTGGTAGAGCCATTTGTATTTTGAATAATACCAATTGTAAACAAATGTAACAACGAGGAAAGAGCCCGGATCTCTTTATTTCCAATGATCATCTCCTTGAGTGTCAAACAAGTTCATAATTATCTTTTAAATTTTAAAACCTCAAGGCATTCTTATATAACATTCAAATTAAGATTTTAGAGATAAAACAAATCTTTACACCGCTGCATCAAGCAAAGATACAAATAAATAAGTTATTATGTTGTAATTCTCGTCATCAACTATAAAAGCTTCACATTGTGTTAATTAATTTTAGTAAACCCTGCAAGCTATTTGCTGTAATATATAAACATTTAAA